AGGGTCTCGGGGCCAGGGAGTTAGCTCAGTAGAACAAGTGCTTGCCTGGCAAGCACAAGGGCCTGAGTTCAATCCCTGGTTCCACAAAAAGAATAAAAAAAAATAAATAAATAAACAGGGTCTCACTGTGTAACCCAGCCTGGCCTTGAACTCCCTGCAGTCTTCTTGCCTAAGTCTTCCAAAGGCTGGAATTACAGGCGTGTCCACTACATCTGGCAACAAAAATTTCCTTGTTTTATTTTTTTCATTAAAAAACCTGGACTGAAACAGTGAATCAAGCAAAACAAAAAGCCAGCTCCCTTTTTGTTAGCCTCTGACATCCCACTTTTAGAATATTTTTTAAAAAATTTTATTTATTTATTTGGTACAGGGTCTTGCTCCACAGCTCAGACATAGTGATCCTCCTGTCTCGGCCTCCCCAGCACTGGGATTATAGGCATGCGCCACCATGCCCAGTTTTGGGACCAGTGCAATGCACTCAGTGTTCCAGGGCTGGCACAGCCTGTGGTGCCAGGGATCCAACTCGGTCCTTGTGCTTGCCAGGCAGGTACTTAGATTGCTGAGCTACCTCCCCAGCCCCTAACATCCTACTTTGATAAAAGCTTCACATTGAATCCTCAGGAAAAAAGGGACTGTCCTGTCTCAAAAACCTCGCTTAAATGTTGCTGGTTTATTTAAGCTTTTGAAGGACTACCAGGGTGAAGTCACACACCAACTTTCCACACATGCCATCTCCGAGGGCGTCAGTCACAGAGCCCCAGGTGTGAAGGGCCTCTAGGGAGCGTTTCTGGGCTGAGTTTTCTCCATGGCTCTGTTTGCCCAGTGTGGGAAGGAAACATTCCACGAATAATGCAGAAAATAGAAGTGGGAAAGCCTTTCAGGCATAAGATTGCTTCTCAGAACACTGCCTGGCTGGTAGCACTGCACCTTGAGCCAGCAGGGGCCCCTGTACAGATATCCGTCTGCCATCAGCAGGGCTATATGACTACAACCCCCAAGCCGGGGGGACCACCCCTGCTTGTGCTGCCTCTATGCCCCGGTCCCGGAGGGCTGGGAAAACAGTCTTCACCCTCTCACCCACAGGTCTTTGTGGGCCAAGGAGTCCAGGTCTTGAGGAATCAGTATCTGTCTTCTCACAGCATTTGTGTTCAGGACACTGAAGAGGTTCTGAGGTTCAGGAACTGGACTTCTGAATGAAAAACCCTAACAGCAGTGGTTTTCCTGGAATTGCCCATTCCTGCAGCTTCCTGTCCAAGATGGCGTCAGCCCAGAGGCCTGCCAAGCTGCCTGCTGGGTGGCACATCTGGAAGAAGGTGGTGTCCCAGTGTTGAGGTAGCAACTCCAGGAAACAGTCACATCATGAGGTTCTCTGGAGGGAACCCAAGTCCTCCTGTAGGTCACACAGAGACCCAGCCACACCCCTGGGCGGGGGCTCCAGAATCAGCACAGTCATCGTGGACCAGGAAGGCCAGGGACACATTACTGGCAACGTGAGACAGGCCTGGCAGCACCTGAGTCCTGGTTCAGAGCTGAGGAAGAAAGAGCCACTGTTGGGCAGGCCCCCCACATCAAGCTACCCAGCTGGTCCACCGGAAGGGACAGCAGGGCACCCAGGGGGTCATTGGTGCTTCCCCTCAGGCCAGGCCCCTCTTTGGCAGTAGCATGTGCCTGAGGGCAGGGAGGAGTCCTTCCCACCTGGCAAGCTTCTCTCCAGGCCATATTGCCAGGAGCCTTTGCGCCCTCCTCCAAGGCCACCTTGCGTGGTGTTCTCGGGACTCCTCAGCTCTGTCAGGTGTGGCAGATGGTTTGGGCAAAGGCAAATGTTTCTCCCATGGAGAAGCTGTGGGCCGTGAGTGAAGACTCAAGTCCTATCCCTGGCAGTGTGAACTATGACACGCCCGGCCCCTTGTTGAGAGATCACTGGTGACACTTGTGACCCTTCCTTCCCTCACCAGGTGGAGCTCACGGGCAACAGTATTTATGAGTACATCCATCCCTCTGACCACGACGAGATGACCGCTGTCCTCGCGGCCCACCCGCCTCTCCACCATCACCTGCTCCAAGGTATTTGATGACCTGAAGGAAGCAGGCCCCTTCTTAACTGTGGCTGGGGCCTTTGTTTCCCATGCCTGCTAAGAGGTTGGAGCTGGACTAGGAGAAACACTCAACACTTACCTAGTAGGGATTTGCGTGTGCGCTTCTGATTTTTAGTTCTTTTTTTTTGTTTTTTGTTTTTGAAGATAGTGTCTCAGGAAATCCAGGCTGCCCTTTAACTTGCTTTGTGGCTTCAACTTTGAGATCTTCCTGCTTCAGCCTCCTGAGTAATGGAATGACAGCCAAGCATGCCACCACATCCACCTTGCCCATCTTTTAAACCAATATCACTGAGCCCTTCTTAAGATCCAGAGGCTGTTCAGAGTTGGAGATAAAAGTGATCAGAACCCATTTACCTCATGTACAGATGCCTGGCTTTGAATTCTAGCACTGCACTGTATAGGGGTCTAGGCCTGGGCCTCTGCTTGTGCCAACAGGACTTGGGGGCTAGGAGGGCTGTGCAGTTTCAAAAAGAAAATTATATGTCTTTCTTCTAGATGGAATTTAGCATTTCCTTTGCATCCTTAGCATTCCTTTGACTTGTAGGCTACCCTGGGAATCCTAGTTCCAGTGGGGGGTGTGTGTGTGTGTGTATGTGTGTGTGTGTTTGGTTTGTTGTTGTTGTTTTTTAAAATGTATTTGGTACAGAGTCTCACTACATAGCTTGGACTCATAATGATCTTCCTATTTTCAGCCTCCCCAGCACTGGGACTACAGGTGTGCACCACCACATCTGGTCTCGGTGACCAGCTCAGTGTGTGTGCCCAGGGGCAAGGCCAGCGTGGCATGAGTCCAGTAATTTTGCTAAGCACACACATCACAAATATTTTCACATCACATTAGGTCACTGTGGATGGTTCAACACAAGGTATATGGTCATGGCTACTCTGAAATTCCAGGAGTTCTGAGACCTGCTACTGAATCTTGCTATTTAATGTAGTGATAGAGCAGCACATTCACATCCATGTCACTGTGTGTTTCCGTATTTTGTTGATTTTTCCTTATCTAACTACATATTTTATTTTATGCATTTAAGAACATTACTCTGAGCAGGGATGTATGTGCTATGCCATGGCACACTGCAGTTAGGAAGCCCTGGGTGTCACCCAAGTGACTCCCTAAATCACAACTGTGCCGAGTGCTAGGATGACCCAGAACTTATTCCAGGGGCCCTGGCCTTTTAACCCCTCCTATGAGTGCATGAGGAGGCCAGCAGGCATGCTGACGAATGGCTCTCCTGTGTGCCTTGGACTAAGGCACCCGCCACCTGCCTTGGCCCGCCACAATTCCCCACTGGAATAAGACGCACAAGATAAGACCTCAAGAGCCATGAGAAGAGGGTTGTTAGCCACAAGAACGAAATCAGTGTCCTTCTTATTGTTCCCGCCTGGGAAGCATCATTGGAAGGCCTGAGGGAGGAGCCACAGAAGAGCGTGCTCAGCTGTCAAAACCCTGGCACCACAGCTTTGTGTCCCCAATCCTAGCTCCAGATGCACAAGGTGTGATCACAATATTTGGGCAATGTTTACATTTTTAAAAGTATGTATTTATTTATTTTTGAGACAGGCTTGCTATGTTGCTCAGGCTGGCCTGGGACTCACAGCAGTCTTCCACCTCAGCCTGAGTGCTAGGATTATAGGCATGTACCACTGTGTGCAGCCAATTTACTAGCATGAAAGACACATTGCCTGTTTCAGACTCTGTTGCAGAGTCATTCTTCCTGTTAACTAGGCAGCTACCCGATTTCCGAGGACGCAGGAATCACAGACCATAGCTGACTTATTCTCCAGATCTGGCACCTGGTAACTTCTGGCTCTTTCCAAAGTCCAAATGACCTCGAGAGGTAAATGTTTTCAATCAGTTCAGAACACTGAGGCAGCCACAACAACACAACTAAAGATGTTCAGGAAAGAGGACTTCCAGAACTGCTGCAGAAACTGCAAAGAATGAAGGGATAGGTTTGTTGGAAGCTAGGGGGGGTATTTTGGATGAGTATTAGGACAACATGTCTTTCACCATAGTAGATTTTTTAAACTTTTCAAGATTCCTTGTGTGTTTTGAGCCTATCACATATTTGCAGGTCTGATCCTCCCTGCTCAGGACAGAAACCCTGTGTTAGATGCTGACACAGATAGGGGTGGAGCTGTGATACCCACTTCTTTGGAAATAGGACAGCCGCCTCCTTCACAAGAAAGACTCTGAAGAAGTCATTTCTAATACAGTGTAGGCAAGAGCACCAGCCCTGATTTTGATCCTTTCACTGTGGGTTAAGGCTGGATTCAGGCAGCAGAGGTCTTTGGGAATTCCTTAGAGAACATCATGGAGGCTCATGGTTTGAAGCGCTGAGTCAGTACTGCCTGTGTGGGGCCAGCTTCGCCCTTCAGTCCTGCCTCCATTTTCCTTTCCTGTTGTGGGTCACACAGTTCAGTGTCAGAGGAGGGCTTCAGGGCTGAGGCTCTGCCATTACTTCTCATTTGCAGAGTTAATTTCTGTGTCTGAACTGAACCCCTGTTGTTTTGTGGTAAATGAGTGAGAAGTGGGCTCTTCCCAAGAAGGATAATGAATGACCAGGTGATATTTTAGATCCATGCTTCCACGTTGCAGTGCTTAGCTATATGGTCCAGACAGGTGGCCAGGTTAGACAAAGCTTTAGCCCTGAGAAGCCAAGCTACAAGGAGAATTGTGGGTAAAATATGGCTGCCTCTCCTGGGGCCTGTGTGATAATTCTCTAACTCCCGGAGGGTGGTCCCCACCTTCAGAGAGTGTGGAAGGCCTTTCTTCCATTCCTAGTGGTAACTCTTCTTTAAAGATTAATTTATTAACCTTTACCACGTGGCTGTTTATTTAGAGTGGGTGACCTCGCCCTCACCCAGAGGTATGACATTTTCTGTTTGTGCCTGGGAATGCTGGTGTCCCTGAAAGCATAGGTGTTTCTTTAAAGGGCCATTTGCAATGGCAAGACCAGACATTGGTGCGTGCACCCTGGGAACGAAAGGAAAGAAAGCTTCTTCGGCCTAGCCACAGCTGTCAGGGGACCTGGGAGGACAGAGACACAGACATACTTCTTCCAGAGCTGAAATGAAGGCCAGAACTTCGATCCAACCGCACTGGGTCTCAGAGCGCATAGCATAGCTGGCTCGAGGCACATGCGGGTGACTCCCTCTGCCAAGGAGAGGGGCTAGGTTGCGGCCTGTACGTAGTATCTGCTACCCTGACAGAAGTTGGGCACTTCTTCTGGGGCTTCCTTACAGCTCAGCCACCCGCCCCTAAGGCAGCCCAGGCCATTCCCTTGGCACCAGGGGAGGGAGGACATGGTGACAGGCGGAGCTCTGCCAGGCCGCTCCTTGGCTCCGGCCTGGCCTTTGCAGGTTCTTGCTAAGGCCATGTATCACCTGCCCTCCTATGGTGGCCAAGGGAGCCACAGCAGAAGGTTTCTGGGTCAGGGCTGTGGCCCTGGGAATTTCTCAGTGCTGTTGAGGAGGATGATGGGGACCAGGTGGGATATTAGTCCACAGAACCTCACTCCTGCTTTCAGAATACGAGATAGAGAGGTCATTCTTCCTCCGAATGAAGTGCGTCTTGGCCAAAAGAAACGCGGGCCTGACCTGCAGTGGGTACAAGGTACGTGGGGCCCCAGAGGGTGGGAGGAGCTGGGTTGGCCCCCACGGTGTCACCCTCGAGACTATGCACAGAAGGGAAGGCTCTGGAAGTCAACATGTCACTCTGCCAGGGCAAAAGTTACAAGTGACCACTCCTGGCTGGTCCCTTACAAGGAAGGCCAGGCTACTGGATCTCATCACACCAGGCCAGGAGCCAAGATGGCTCGGGACACATTAGCCCTGCACCTAGAGTTCTACTTTTTGTGGTTCAGCTGCCCCTGGAGTTTGTGTAGAGAACCCAAGTTTCAGGGCGTGGTCAGGGCAACAATGAGAATTCAGAGCACAGGAACATTGCTCATTTCCAGAGCAACATCCAGCGCCAACACCACCCCTTGCGATGGTGAGCAGCAGCCTCTCAGAGGCCCGGTTCTCTGCTCTGATAATGCCAGAATACAGAAGCTGGTCACCTGCAAGAGCCAGCTGGAGGGTTTTGGTTTTTTTTTGAGTTTTGTGTTTTTGAGACAGGTTCTCACTTTGTAATTCAGGCTGACTTTAACTCACTCTGTAGCCCAGGCTCCCCTCAGACACATGCAGTGATTCTTGAGTGTTGGGATTACAGGTGGGCACCACCACGCCTGCTCAAACCAGCTGGCGGGATGTCACCACAGGTTAGGGTCAGCTGCTCTCAGACTGGAGCACAGGTTAGGGGAACTGCCCCTTCCACCCTCCATTCCCCTGTCTGACATCTCACCTTCTCCCAGGGATCTTTCCTGCTGTCCTTCCCACTTGGGAAGTGGGAGTCCACTGCTCTGGAGCTGGAAAATGCTGTTTTTATATTTTGTGGAAAGATACAATTCTTATTCTTACTAGTCCTAGCCTTTGTGGACCTCTTTGGGCCAGGCTGGGGAGCCCCTTCCCTTTCCCCACACTCAATAGAAACCCTTCAGATGATCTGGGTCTTAATTTGTTCTTCCATTAATTTGATAATGGCCTAGCTATCTGATTTTAAGCAAGATACACCACCTGTCTATTTCACGTTCAGTTCTCTCCTCAGCAGAATGAGAGCTGACTTGAAGGATTTTGAGATTTATTCAACTCTGAATGTTAAAATGAAAAACAAAATGTAAACATGTTCAAGAATCTTGGAGGAAGGGTTTTTGAAAAGATGATTTTAAGGATAAGATTTTAGCATGCACTACCAAGTGTAATGATAACCATGATCTTAGCAAATTTTACTGTATGGGTGTATTTGTTTGTTTGTTTAACAGGGCTGGGAATCCTACCCAGGACCTTGGGTATGGAGTGAGGCAGCCTTGTACCACTGACTGCACCCCTAGCCCATTTACTCACTTGAAAAGCTATGAATCCTTCTGATTTTGAGGCTTAAAACTGCACAAATGTTTCTGCCTGACTCTGACACTGTGTATTCTCTTCCATATGGCCTTTGGCTTTAAGACTTGGAAGGGCTTCTATGGAGCTTTTTGTTGACTAAAACCTTGAATTATCAATAATCCCAAGACATAAAATATTCAAATACATTCAAAAGGAAGACTGGAAAGTTCCACAAGCAGAATATTTTTTTTTTCCAGAACTGGGGATTGAATTCAGGCCCTTACTCTTGTCAGGGAAGTGCTTATTCTACTGAGCCATCTCCCCAGCCCCTTACAAGCAGAATTTTTAATTTAACTGAGTGACACAGCAGGTCAGTAATGTAGACGTCAAACTTGATCCCACCAGAAGGGTGCAGCCATTGTAATTACTGAGTGGAGCCTTCATACAGCAAAGGGGTAGCAGGAGCAGAACAAAATGCTTTTGTCCTGTTCTCTAGTCACAACTTGAGTTAATTAATAGGAATCTACCACACAGGAGAGACCCCTGATTTGTGGCATTCCTTGCATATGATCTGTCGGATCAAACAACACATTTAATGACATTGCTCATAAGAGAGCAGCACAACAGGTTGACTTTGGAGCTCAGAAAAAGCTGGGCTGAGGAATACTCTAGAACCTTCTAGAATAATGAGCCAGGAGGGGCGGGCCAGCCTGCGCCTTGATCAGCAGGGTCACTGCCACCTGCCTTGTCCCCTGCCCTTCCAGGTCATCCACTGCAGCGGCTATTTGAAGATCAGGCAGTACATGCTGGACATGTCCCTGTACGACTCCTGCTACCAGATTGTGGGGCTGGTGGCCGTGGGCCAGTCGCTGCCTCCCAGTGCCATCACGGAGATCAAGCTGCACAGTAATATGTTCATGTTCAGGGCCAGCCTCGACCTGAAGCTCATCTTCCTGGACTCCAGGTGAGTCTGGCCCTGTCACTGCCAAACTGCTGTGACACCCTGGACAGTCCTGGCAGTGGCGATTGGCCCCAGGAAACTTTATTGAGCCAAACTGTAAGGCAGATAAGTCTGACTAAGAATGCGGATCAGAAGGGGATTTCTGAAAGCAAGTAGCAAATGGAAAGGATTACTGCTGGCCTCAGGAGTCGGGCCTTATAATTAATTAGTTTGTTTCTGCTTGAGTCACCTCACTGGAGCTTGTCCCAGAACCCTGGACGGTGGGCATGAGGCATCCTCTGCTGAAGCCCATGGCCTCTGCTCTCTGCCAAGCTGGTTGTACCATAGGATAAACAGAAGTTTCCACACTCAGTGGCACGGGAAGCCCTCAGATCTGTGGCAGCCACTAGTGGTCAAGTCCAAGCAGGAAGTGGCAAGGCCACCACCCTGGGGGATGCTGGACCCCAAGCTCTGTGGTGCTCAGTGTGTCTGGACTGCAGAGGCAGCAACTGAGGCAGAAAGTGCCCCTTGTTCCCCAAGGCCTTGCAGAGGCTGGCTTGGGAAACCAGATTGGAGAGCTTCTGGTCTCACCCACCTGGCATAGGCCTTTTTGTCTTTTTAAATTTTATTGACTGACTGCAGTACTCAGAACTGGACCCAAAGCCTTCACATTGGATTATGTCCCCAACCTTTAGTTTTTCTTTCTTTTATTTATTTTTCTTGAGACAGGGTCTTGCTAAGTCACTAAGTTGCCCAGGCGGGGCTTGAAGTTCAATCCTTCTGCCTCAGCCTTCCAGAGTCCTGGGACTGCAGGCTTCTACCACCATGCCTGGCACTCACGTGTCTTTTTCTCCTTTCTTCTTAAATTTTATTTTAAATTGCTAATGTTTGTATTTTTATGTGAGATAAGGAGATGTACTGGGGTTGCATTGTGGAATAAATAGGTAAAGAAATCCTCACAAATCACGGGGCTCAGGCTGCTACGGCTCTCTTCCAGTTTTTCATTGCCAAAATGGCAGACCTGCCCATCCACTAGTTACCTGTAAGCCTTAGGAAAGAAGAAACTAGAGAACAGATGCGGCACCTGGGGCAAACAAGGCCCAAGCTCCAGAATAAGGAGAGGCGCTCATCCTAAGTGGGGTGTGCAGAGCACCTTTCTGGGGGGACCAGCTCATGTGCTTGTTGTGAAGTCAGAATTGACTGATTTTTTTGGGTTTTTTTGTTTTTGTCCTGTTTCTTTCTCCCCACAAGATAAGCTCTTGTGCTCTGGGCTTGAACTCCTGGGTCTGCGCAATCCCACCTCAGCCTTCGATGTAGCAGGATTTCAGGGGTGCACCAAGATGCCTGACTACTAAGTTTTAATTGTTTTTACTTACTTATTTTTGGTACTGAGGAATGAAGCCAAAGTCTTTGCATGGAGCTATATCCCTAGCTCCATTTTTTCTTTTTTTATTTCAGGACAGGGTCTAAGCCAAACTTGAAATCCTCCTGTCTGTGCTTCCCAGAATCCTGGGGTTACAGGTGTATACCATACACTCAGGTTTTTTATTATTATTATTTTTATTCCTTAAACATTGCAATAAAACCTCACAAAAATTGATCATTTGTTTCCACCATTTATCGATTCTTTGTTTGAAGAGAATAAAACAAATTACTTGGTTGAGGGTGGGAGGTGAAGACAGGTGTTGTAGGTGCACCTTAGGACCATCCAGAGGGCGGGAGGCAACAAGCACTGACACAGTGGAGTTGGCATTCTTAGCCCTGACACTCCAAGCAGAGAGCAAACAGAACTTTCTGGGGGAGTCCGCCAGCACCTTTGAGGGTGGCCAAATGGTGACAAATGCTATTTGCCTGACCTGCAGAAGCAGGCTGAGAAAAGGTAGCGCCAGCTGCCTCAGAGCCCGGTGCATGCAGTGTAGGGGATCGCTTTCCCAATTGAGGAACCTTTTCTGAAGAAAATGGGCTGCCCGAGGGCACTATTGAAGGCATTAGGGAGGATCTTGGTGGTTTCTCCTTAATGTTTTATAGATAATTTGAGAAAACCCTAAAGCTAATGAATTCTTTAGAAGAGGAAGGAAGGAGGTGTCCTTAGAAGAGAGATTTGAAGTCTTTCCAGTGAAGAGTAGAGGAGGTTAGCTAGAAGCCACCATCTGTTTGCTGAAAGATGCCTCATGTGTCCTTTATGGAGCATCATGGGAGCTCCTTCAGATGTGGGACTGCTATCTTGAAGGAAAGCAGAAGGGCAGCCATCTTGAAGGAGAAAAGAAAGGTGGTCGTCTTGAAGGAGAATTCCTGTCCCTCCTGGAACCATGTGCTTCCTATTCAGTATCAGGAAGCTTCTGGAAAAGTCTTTGGGCTGTTCCTAAACTTCTTTCATGGAAGAAGGACTTCAAGAGGTCACAGGAGTGCGGTAGACTCCCTCACAGTTGCTATGGTCTTCGTTCCATTTGGTTGTAGTTCCAGTCATCTTTGAAAGGCCCTGGGCTGGGGTCACAGATGCCTAGGAAGGGCAGAGATGTCAGTTTCTGCATCCAGATCCCAGTAGCCACAGTGAGAGGTTGGCCAGCCTCAAAGCCCCAAGTCGCAGGACAGTGGTGGTCTTGGGAATCTCCTGCATCCACCCAGCCCAGTCTCAGACACAGCTGAACTTGGCATAACCTGTGAGCTGGCTCCTCTGGGGTTGTGGATTTCACTTTGAAACTGTAGCTGGTACTTTTGGGAAGCATTGGTGAATCCAGCGATGTTTAGGGTTTGGCAGACTCCTATGACAGGTCGTCAGACACTATGGGTTTGGAAAAAACCAGGAGGGCATCTTGCCAATCCCTTTCCTCCCCTTTAATTTGTAAAGCCAGTGTGGACTTTGATGAGAAACTTAATCCATGTGCTTCTGATCCATTTACACGTTGGGGCCCTCACTCTAGGCCTCAACACCCAAAGGATCTGAGAAGTCTCTTTCATCCCTGCGCTGTGGAGATGTCTGGCTTTCTCTTTGGGGGAAGCCAGACGTCTCAACTTTCCGGCCACACAGAGACTCTAAAGGAGCTCAGAGTTCTAGGTGGCCCTGAGACTTGTCCCTTGAACCCTGGAAACTGGACGTGGGGCTAGTGACATCCCCTTCCCCCACCTCAAGCCCTATCACCTTCCCACCCCAAAGGAACCATGTAGGAATGTGTGCCTCAGATGGGGCCACTCTGGGGAAACACGAGGCTCTCTAAGATTTATGACCCAAAGCCCGAGCAGAATTCAACAGAAAGGGAAGAGGGTTCAAGAACAAAAGGTCAAGTTTCCTGTTTAATTTGCAACTAATATTTCATCTCCTGGTGATCAGTGCCATAGGTCTGACCTGCCTCAGTCTCCCCTTCCTATCCTCCAGAACTGACTTCTGGTAGCCTCAACCTCCCTAGGAATCCCTGCTTATCCCCCTCTTTTATCTGTCCTTGAATATCTGTCACCAAGACATTTAGAGCCACCTCCTCTCTAGGCCCATTTCCCCTCTGCGTGGCCCCAAGCCTGAGAAACTGTGCTGCTGCTGCTTACAGTTGTCACCCACGGGCAAAGCAGTCCCAGGGTTAGCTGATGTGGCCTCAGACGCCGACAGCCACTTTTCTTCAAAGAGCCAAATGGGAAATGAATATGCCTGAGCACCATGAGAAGAAAGAAGGGCCATGTCACAGAAGCACTGGGAAACACTTCCGTTTCCACGGGGAGCTTAAGGCTCGCCCAGTAGTCACAATATCCGCAGATGTTGAGCTGTTTTCTGGGGGTCTGAAGTAATCTCCCTCTGATCCGAGGCTTAGACATCACCAGTTAGTCCACAGTTCCCCTTTGTAGGAGTGGCCCAGCCACCCAGCCCAAGACCACCTGTGCTGAGTCTTAGTGTGGAATGGACCCACACCCACATGCCCACCAGCAGACCAGGGGAGAAACAAGGACAAGATGCACCCTCATTGTGGAAGATCCCCCCAGAGGCCCTCGGCAAAGCTTAACCTAGAGAAAGGGTTCAGTTTGAAGCTGTCCCAAACAGGCTCCCCAAAGAACATTCCTGCTGTAGGGTGGGGTAACTCACGGAGCTGCGGTTGTGCCCCAGGGTGACCGAGCTGACGGGTTATGAGCCACAGGACCTGATTGAGAAGACGCTCTACCACCATGTGCATGGCTGCGACACCTTCCACCTGCGCTACGCACACCACCTCCGTGAGTAGTGTGTCCAGGCCAGGCCCGGGGTGGGAGCCCGGGAAACAGCGGGGCACCGAGGCCAGGGCTGGGGCATCTGTGAATCCTGGACCTTGGTGTGACTTCTCTGTCACACCCACCACCCAGAAGCCTGCTTGATGAGATGGACGGGTGTGGGATGCTGGGAGTTACCCGATCCTAGACTGTGGATTGGGGTCTCAGCTGCTCCATGAGATATGGATGCTGTTTGCAAAGAGCCGTAGACCCAGCCAACATCCCTGAGGCCTGGTGTGTGTGTCTCACAGAAGGAAAAGGCAGCTTGGAAAGAGGTGATTGGCTTGATTTTTCCAGGGTACAGTGTGGATATCTGGATTAGGGGCAGGTGCCGTCGTCACTGATGCAGTTAGAGGGAAGGCACAGCGCACCCTCCTGCTGTCCAGTGGTAGCAGGCCACGGGCCAGCACAGGGCTGGTGTTAGTGGGTAGTAGGGTGGGTTAACGAGGCAGGGCAGTCAGAATCTCTGCAGCACAGGTTGGGCACAGGTCCTCGCTCGCACTGTTGGCTAGGTGACCTTACTGGGCAAGTGGATGGTGGCCCGGTGGGAAGTGGACGGTGGGTCCAGGGGCTGCTCCATCCGCAGCTGCACTGTCCTGGCTGTGCAGGCTGGGTGGTAGCCAGTGAATGTGATGTCACCTGTGTATCCCTACTGGCACCCTGAGTGCCACCTCCAAAAGCAGGACAGCTAATGGGACAGACTCCTCTTCCTTTGTGCCTCCTTCCTTCTCCTGTCTAGTTTTGTTTAGTTTAGTTTTTTGAGGCAGGGTCTTGCTATGCAGTTTAGACTGGCCTCCAACTCAGTGATCTCCTGCCTCAGCCTCCTCCGTGATGGGATCCCAGGCTTAACCACTATCCCTGGCTCCTTTCAGTTTGTTTTAGTGGTCAAGCCATGATCTTCCACAAAGACCTCTGTCACTCTGAGACCCTGCTGGGTAGGAAAGCAGCTGCTGGCATTTGGATGGACTCTGTAGGTCAGAATCCTGACTGCGAGCCAGAAGTGCTTCACTGTCATTAGGGAATCACACGTTTGGGATATCTGCAGGGCTGCCATGAGGATGGTGTGTGTATGGAGGGAGCCCCTCTCCAGGGCGGGGAACCTGTGCGCACTGCCCTCCATATGGGCTCCCAGGCTGCACCCCAGACCTCTAAGCAGAGAAGAGGAACTCACGCATTCATAGCTTTCACTTTGCTTTATCTCATTTGTGTGCCAGGGACAGAGCTGGGGGCTGCCCTGAGCCCAGTGACCCCCTTTTAAACTCTGATCTTGCATTCCTGATGGGGGAGGAGCAGGGATTTCTCCCTCCACTTGGAAAAACTTTGAAGGCCCAGCGGTGCTGCTTGTGTTGCTTTTGGGTCCCTGACATGGACATGTGTGACAGCCCAGTCAGGCAGACCAGGAGGCACGTGCTCTGTTCTCGAGCCTTCCTTCTGTGGTCCCACCACAAAGTAGGCTGGTCTTCTCCCCCTGAGGGCCCAGACTGGCTTGCCGCCTTCCTTGGGAGATGTCCTGGATATACACCAAAATCTATTCCATCTCCAGGAAATTTGCCATTTCCAGGTGTTGCAGGGACCGAAGGGGACTGAGAAAGGGAAGGCGCCTGGAGAGCTGTTCAGAAATGAGACAGGGTGCAGCCATGTTGCCCAGGTGGTGACAGAAAACTGGGATCCTGACAATGGTCGCTGCTCCTTTGTGGCTCTGGGCTGAGCCAGGCCTGGGCAGTCTAAGGCTGGAGCTACGGAGCCCTGTGGCTGCCTCAGCGCAGCCTCTGCCTGCGGCCAGGTCCTGTGAGAACTGAAGAGGTCAGCAGCAAGGTGTGGCCCCATGGTGGCTGCCCTGCGCCCAGGTGCTGCCCAGGTGTGGCGTGGGTGCCAATTAAGTCCTGATCCCCCCGGCCCTCAGAACAGCCTGACCTCAGCTGGGACATGCATCACACTGCAATCTTCCCCGGACGTCTGTGGAGCAAAGAAGGCTACTGTACTCCAGCTGCCAGCCCTGGGTGGGGTTCAGGTGCAGTGACTCATTTGGGCAGGGAGTGAGGCCTGGGGAGGGGACCTGGAAGGGAGGCGGGGGAGGGGCCTCCAGGAGAACCAGTCCGAGGCCTGGCTGGAGCATGAGCAGCCTGGGTGCCCCCAATCTGGCTCCTGTGGATCCTAGCTCAGTGCAGCCTGGAGGTCGAAGACTCTGCTCACCCCACACCTGACCAGAGTGGCTCTGCCTCAGGAAGCCCCTTGAGGGCCATCAGGTCCCAGCTGTAGCAGCAGCCATGTCTTGTGTGGAGGTTGCCTCCCCTCAGCAGCTCCCCAGCGCCATCTGTCATCTTCTCGTGCATGCGGGTCATCTGAGGACACCATCACCTTCCTGCCCAGGGTCCCCACTGGCTGACTGCGGTGTCCTCACCAAGCTCCCTGGGGGTCAGGCACCCACCCCCTCGCTGTCCTCTAGTGGATCCTTTCCTGGGTTGGTGTCTGGTATCACCACCTCTTCCCCCCAACTCCTACTTGTCCCACAGTGCCTACTCGGCGACCCAAGTCCTTTTTTTTCTGGAGGATTCTTCTGTCATGCTGTTCAGAGCCTAACAGACTGGCTTCAGGAGCTCAGGCCACCGTAACTGTCACTCAGCACCATGGGCCAGACATGTTACCTCCCGAGGAACAGGAGGCTGAAGCCATGTCACCGTTTCACAGGACTGTTTTCTGTGTGGCTTCTCTCCTTGGCTTATAGACGGCATCTTTTGCCGGTGTCCTCACATGAGTGCCCTGCGTGTGTCTGCCCCAGGCTCTCCTTCTGAGGCCCCCAGTCATAGTAGGTCAGCACTCAGCATCTGAGCCCACATTTTTTAACCTCTCTTTGAAGCCCTGTCTTCATGCGGTCACATCCTGAGGTATGGGGGTGAGGACCCCCCCACAGGAATTGGAGGCCAGAGACACATTGCAGCCCATAGCAGGGATGCTCTGCAGAGCCCTGTCTTTGTTCTCAGTCAAGCAGAGGGCACAGGTTCTTTCCCATAGTTTGGCCACACGGATGATTGTGGGGCAGGCAGGTGTGAAGTCAGAGTAGGGCAAATGCTCCAGTCCAAAGCTGCCTTTGCACTTGGGAGGCTCACCGGAGTCAGGGCCACACCACGAGGGGACTTCTAGAGGAGCAGAGAGAGCAGCCTGACGTCTGTGTGGCATTTTCCTGGAGCTAGAATTCCTACCCCACAGCATCCTGGGAAGAACTGGGGTAACAGGCTTTCATAAGAGTGTGGACCCCCAGGGTCAGCACCATCTTAGACCATGAGGTTGGAGATGCTGTCGATAGAGGCGCGGCTCTGACCTCGGGAGCTTGGGGTTTGGGACGCTCTCCCTGTCCCTGTCTATTCCCTGTAAGAAAGGCTTTGCCTTACAACCCTCTGGCCCAGTTTCGTTCCAGGCAGCTAATTACGGATGACCGAGTAGAGGGGAAGGGATGCAGACCCAGGGATGTTGTGACCCTGTGTCTCGGGCTGCAGTTTGGACTGATGCGTTGGCTCCTAGCAGAGGTCACACAGAAGCAAAAAGAAAGAACCCATGCACATGTTTGTTTGGTCTCTGTCCCCAAACCCCATCCCAGCAGAGTCAGCAGAAGTCAGAAATCACAAAATCTTGATCAGGTGAATCTTAACCATGATTTTGATGAGCTGGCTGCATTGTGTCCAGTTTGAGGAGATTCTGGGTGGTGTTTAGGAATGTTGCCGGAAATAAGAGGAAGTGTGGCACGTGAGTCAGGGAAGGGAAGCTGGATGCACGTTTGCGGGGGTGGGGGCAGCAGGCGCAGACGGGAGCGTGAGGAGAGGCAGGGCCCAGGCTGCCAAAAGCTGCACAATCGTGGGGGTCAGATGGATGCTTGCTCTTCCTCTTTTGGTTCTTTAGGGGCCACAGCAGGCCCACCTCCCTGGGCAGCTCCAGGGAGCCTTCAGAGGCCACTGCCCCTCGCCATGCACTGGTCGGCACTGCCTGTTAGCATTTTTTCTCTTGGACCAAATATACACAATGTGGAATGCATGTCACCCACCATGTTCGGTGGCTTGCAGCATAGCCACAGCCCTGTGCTGCTGGTGCCTTTTTTCTAATTCCATTTGCATCGTCTCCTGAAGAAGCCTGGTCTGAGCTCATTACCATGTACTCCTGACCTTTCCGCCTGCCACCCTGGCCGCTCCTAATCTGCTTCCATCTCTCTGGATTTGCTTGCTGTGGACATTTCCCACCACGGAATCCTACAGCAGAGCTGGTTCTCTTTCACTACTTGCTGGTCTATCTGATGGATGTCATCTATTGTGGGATTGAAGCACATGGAGCGTGTGTTCAGCTCTTGACCCCTACATTGCAGTTTGCTCTTTGGTGAACTGTTTGGTCAGGTTCTTTGCTTTTAAAGTCTTGGTGGCTTTAATTAATTAATGTTAGCTTGAGACAAGGTCTCACTGTGTATTTCAGGCCAGCCTTGAACTCACAGCAATCCTCCTCCTTCAGCCTCCTGAGTGCTGGGATTATAGACATAGACTACCATGCCCCATTTAAATTTTTTAGATTTTGATATGTAGGGTCTTAACATTTTAATTAATCAGTATGAACTCTAAAGTAAGTTGAATAACGTCTCACTCTCCTGCTCCAGGCATCGTTTCTTCTGGTTGATATATTTTGCCATGAGTGTTGAGGTGGATGATAGAGAAACAGCAACGGTGTGAGAGCAGTGTGCTGCGGGCGTCTGCTTGCGGCTAAGGGGCTGTGCACTGGGAGCTGCCAGGGCTGTGGCGCAGTTTCCTAAGCAGGAAGCTGCTAGCTGGGGCTGCCCCCCAGCAGGAATGCCCTGCTGCCAGGTGGGGCTGCGGGGGACCTAGACAGCTTCTCCTCTCCACTGGCAGCCTGGGCCCTCGCATTTCCCTCCTCTCCTCCCCTCCACAAAGGCTGGGGGATAGATCACAGTTTATGGGCACATGGAGGCTTTGGGGGCTGCTCAGCAGCTTGGACCTTGTACCCATGCGTGGAAGATGGGCCCACAGGCCCAGTTTTCAGGAACCATGTCACTGAGCCAAGGGCTTTTCTACGGGAGCACCACAGGACATTAACATGCCCAGGAAAGTGGGTAATTGGGAAAACAATGCCAACAGCTATAGGATGACAAGAGATTTTTGTTGTGAATGCATGCCATGCTGGGGGACAGTGAATAGCAGAACCAATTTGACACTGGAGAAAGCCCTGAATTCCTGGCTGGTTTAAATAATTACATCTCTCATCCCCTCTGCCCACAAACAACTTTAGGCATTAAAACCTCTGGCATTCTGGATACTAAGAGGCAAACCTGATTCTTGTCACTCTGCTTGTTCCTGGGGCGTCAGGGGCAGCTCCCCTAGAACATTGCCTGTTCATGGGAATCTGAGCCAGGATCTGTCCAGTTCCCACTGTGCCCTTGGCCCCGGAGGCTTGCCCAGAGACCTGGGTCACCAGTGGGGGTGGCATTCCCCAAAGTAGGACCTGCTGTGGTCCAAGGACTCACATCACCTTGTGCTTGCAGTGCTGGTGAAGGGCCAGGTCACCACCAAGTACTACCGGCTGCTGTCCAAGCTGGGCGGCTGGGTGTGGGTGCAGAGCTACGCCACCGTGGTGCACAACAGCCGCTCATCCCGGCCGCACTGCATCGTGAGTGTCAATTATGTCCTCACGTAAGTCAGCGTATTTGTTTCTCTCCTCTCCCTCCCGCCCCTCATCACGTTGCCCGTCAGCGCCATCTCGCTCCTTTCCTCTCTTTCTGAACTGTTCATTTGTCTCCTGTCCTGTTGGGTTGGGATGATCTAGTCACTTGGGAAGGTCCAAGCTGAAGAGAGGGCCCTGTCCTGGTACAACTGGACCCCCAGCACAGGTCCTTCCAGGGCTCACTGTCTTGAATAGGTCCCCGGACAGGACCACCTGTGCTGTCTGTCTGTGCCCACAGCCTGCATGGCATCTTGATGGGCGTGGACACCCAGGACAGTGGAAAACTCCCATTTTCCCATCTTCCTGCAAATGTGGCAAAGGAAGGTGAATACTTTGCCCCTTCAAAGTCACAGACTTTGCTGGGCGTGGCAGCACACACCTGGAATCCCAGCACTGAGAGGCTGAGGCAGGAGGGTCACAAGTTCTAGTCCAACCTACATAACCTAATGACTTAGCAAGATCCTCAAAATTTAAAAAGGGGCTAGGGATATAGCTCAGTGTGAAGACCCTGGGTTTAATTCCTGGTACTCCCTCCTTTGCCCTGCAAAAGACCCAGGGGTCATCTTCAGTGACAGATAGTTTCAAGGTCATTAGAAGCTGCCCATTTTCCACTGCCCCCCATGGCTACCAAGTCACCTTGCACATGGCCCTGGCCTGTACCTGACACCCTCCCATTCCCCCTCCCTACCTTGGAAGGGTCCTCGTGTGTGTCCTGAACTCGGCGAGGATGGAGGCTCTGGGTTCGTACCTAGGAGGATCTGCAGGTCCCTGGTGAATGAAAGGAGAATGACCTGCTCCCCAGCTGCTGTGTGCGGGCTGGCATTTGAGGGGACCTCTGTGCCCTGAACAAGACCTGGCTGACTAGCTTTGCAGGGCAGAGGTGGAGCCCCAATGGGAAGGCAGCTGAGGCTGGAGCCACACTGCCCCCAGGCTCCCACTCCTGCTTCCTCCGTGACCAGAGATACCCCAAGCCAGTAATATCCATGCTTCCTGGCCCTGCCCTTGCCCCTGAAGCTTCCTCGGGCCCCACTGTCCTGGCTGCATCTGCAGCCATCTGAGCCGGAGTGAGTCAGTCTCCCTCTGTCCCTGTCAAATGCCATTGGCCTTGTCTGGGCTGCAGGTGGCATGACACTGGCGAACTGTCTTTCCCAAATGATGTCCCTGCCTAGCCTCAGAGGCGACACAGCGCTGGCCCTGGAGCCACCTCCTGCCTGTTCCTGCTCGATGTGACCTGACAGCCCACTCTTGCTCTCCAGGGACATCGAGTACAAGGAACTGCAGCTGTCGCTGGAGCAGGTGTCCACTCCAAAGGCACAGGACTCCTGGAGGACCCCCTTGTCTACCTCACAAGAAACTAGGAAGCTAGCTAAGCCCAGAAACATGAAGATGAAGACAAAGCTGAGAACAACCCCCTACCCACCGCAGGTAACAATGTCAGGGAGCCAAGGCTGGCACTGGTCTGTCCCAGGGACCTGGGACACACGGGCATGTTTCTATGTATTTTTCTTCTGGTACTGGAGGTTCAACTCAGTCCTTCACATGGAGCTACCTCTCCAACCTTTTATTTTTTTACTCTTTTGGTCTCACTGTGTTGCTAAATTGAACCTGCAGTCCTCCTGCCTCAGCCTCCCAGAGTGGTGGAGTAACAGGTGTGCACCACCATACTTGGCTCACACTGGGACATGTTAAGGAATGAGAACCTCTGAACACGCAGCAGGGACACCCCATGGAGTGCAGCTGGTCCCTCAAGGATGCCCTGTCTGACCAGCACTGGTGTGGCCTGGGGAAATCCAATACTCAGGTGGACAGTGGAGAACAGGGAAAAGAGGATTCTTGGGAGGGGCCCATCAGGCTGCTGGGACCTGTGCAGGTGCTGATTAGAACCCCAGCCTGTCCTGTTTCTGTAGCATTTTCTGTTTGTTTTCAAAACGGGTTTACTATGGAGCCCAGGCTCATCTTAAACTCCTGGGCTTAAGTGATTCTCCTGCCTTAGCCTCTTGAGTAGCTTGGATCACATATACACACTGTGCTTGGCTCACAGCATTTTTATTTATTTTTTGCAGTACTGGGGATTGAATTCAGGACCTTGCAGTTGCCAGGCAGGCACTTGTTCTACTGAGCTATCTCCTTGGCCCCTCACAGCGTTTTTAGAATGAAAAAAATTCCCTCTTTTTCATATAACAGAGTGTGTACACTCTGGGAACTAGCAACGTCCACCTGTGCCCTGTGTACTGTCAGCTTAGGGTGGGGACGCTTGTCACCCAGGGCCTTGGCCGCTGTCCCCACCAGGGCCTCTGGGGTAGATCAGGCTGTCAAGAGAGGCTGAGCCAGAAAATTCAGGCCTGCCATGCCCCTGGGCCGGGCGTCCTCTCCTTTTTGCCACGCAGCAGTATGGAGCGTTCCACACGGACAGATTGGACTGCGGCCAGCTCGGACCCTGGGCGGCCAGCGCCCCTGCCAGCACTCCGACGGCCCCAGAACAGCAGCTGCACGCCGAGGGCGGGGACCTCCTGTATGCGCCGCCTTATAGCCTGCCCTTCTACCGCTACGGCCCCTTCCCACTGGACACACAGGTCTTCGGCAGCAAGAAGCCCGCGCCTCCAGCCAAGCTTGGGCAGCCCCCCGGCTCCCCATGTGAGGTGGCTCGCTTCTTTCTGAGTGCTCTGCCAGCCAGCGCTGAGTGCCAGTGGCATTATGCCAGCCCACTGGGGCCCGGCAGCCCATCTGCAGCTCCCAAGAGCCTCCCGGAGCCACCTGCAGCCCGGCATCTGGTGCCCAACTTTGAAGGTGGGTGCTGGGGACAGAGGGCAACAGAGTCCTCATGGCTTGCACAGCACCGGGTGGCATAGCTTGCCCATCCCATCCCAGGGGATGGCGCCCTCTCACCTCAGGGAGACTCTCCCTGCTTCCCAGGAGTGGTGAGGTGACAGCCCCAGGCCTGGGGCACTAGTGACAATGTAAAGGACAAAGGGAAAATGGGGATCTGCCTCCACCCAACACCTGGTCTCCTTTGGTCCCTGAAAAGGAAAGAGTGAGTTTCTCAATTATTTATTATTTATGCGCATTTATTCTATAGAAGATGGCTTGTCACTGCGTCACATAGGCTGTCCCCAGTGTGCAGGAGTGAGAAGTCCACAGTTGAGGCTAGAGAGGCCAGGCTCCAGCCTGCAGCCTGTCCTGGTCCTGGCCTTCATCATAGCATTTGTGAAATGGGACTGAGAGCCCCTGTAGGACCTCACTAGCTCACAGCAGGCTGATAGGAGGGGTCTTATGGTCTCCTCTTGGTGGCCTTTGAGCAGATGTCGTCCAGCACAGGCACTGGGCCACCTGGGACAGTAGTGGGCTTATGGCATGGGGGGTGGGTGGCTGCAGGAGGTGACACCGCGCACCATGCTTAGCATCGACCGAAGGCTCACGGGCCCAGGTTTTGTAGGCAGGTTCACAAGACTAGACACACTCCCCTGCGGATCCGAGGGCTGTGATCTTGAAAATTACCTACTTAGAAAAAGCCAGGTGTAGTCCAGGAGCCAGTGTTCCTCAGCTTTGGACCCAAAGCACCCATGGAAGTCCTGGATTCCTGGCTCAGCCAAGAATGAGATTTTCCTGTACACTGGAAAGGAAATAGTCCAGGGTTTTGAAAATGCTATGGACTTGATACTTTTCTGTGGTCCTGGGTATTGAGTCCAGGGCTTTCTACACTGAGCTGTGTGTGCAGCCCTTTTTGAGGCAGAAGTCGCAGTCACTAAGTGGCAGGGTGCTGGGTTCACACTTCGGTTATTCCTGCCTCAGCCCCCAGAGTGCAAGGGTTATAGGCACGGGTCACCACGCTCGGCTTTCCCTGGACCTTTCCAGGTGCCATTTAAGGGCGCGGGTGGCCAGGGTGGGTGGCTCCAGGCCCGGGAGCGTCTCACGTGTCGCCTGTCCCCGCAGCAGCACCAGGCGCTGTCGCGCGCAGGTTCAGCGAGGACCCCGCACCCCAGCCGCCGCCGCCGCCACCTCCCAGTTTCCCGAGCTGTGGCCTCTACCGTGAAGAGCGCACGTCTTGCCCCGCCAAGGTCGCGCGCCAGGCCCGAGACGTGCCGCGCCTGCCTGAGTGCTGCGCGCCTCCCGGTCCCGAGCCCCCGGGCGCGCGCGCGCAGCTGCCCCTAGTGCTGCTCAACTGCCACCGCGTGCTGGCTCGGCGCGGGCCGCTGGGGGGCACTGCGTCGGGCTTGGCTTGCGGCCCCGCGCCCCCGGAATGCGCTCTGCGGCCGCGGCTCCCGAGCCCCGCAGCGGCCCCAGCCTCCGGCGCACCGAGGCCGCACTACCTGGGCACCTCTGTCATCATCACCAACGGCAGGTGACGATGCACAGCCCAACAAAGTGGACTAGCGGGGTGCAGACCGGACGCGAGCGGCAGTGACTGACAGAGCCAGAGATTTCTGCGAGCTCCGGGGCCAACCTCAGATTTACCGCTGATGCAGAGCGGAAACACGATTCTGCAAACCTGAGGGTCCGCGACCACCACGACCTCAAGCTCCCCGCCTTTGATTCAGTTTCTTCCCCCTTGAAATCAAGCTTCCGGCACTTTGCTGGTGACCTAAGGTGTTGCAACTCGCAGATATATGAGGGGGTGAGGCACCCTGATTCCAGGCGGGGAGGGTGGGCCGGGGGTTGGGGGCGGAGGCACAGGCAGGATCTTTTCCTCTGTTCTTAGCTAAGGCAGAAAGGTGGTCATTTTCAGTTCCTGGACACTCCACTGTCTTTAAAAGTCATTCATGAGTCTTACGAATTTTTTTAAAAAATTTATCTTTTCCTGAATGCAAAAAACAGCAAGCCAATTCTACTGTGGGTGTGTGCACACAAGTGTGCTTCACAAACACGTTAACAAGCGCTTATGCCCTTGGCCAGATGGATTTTTGATAGCACCAGGAACAGCACCTTCAGAATATACTGAGTAGGCATTAAATGCAAAAAGACCTGTGTGACCAGGTCTTGTCCGAGGGGCGGTCAAGCTGGCTCCACTGTGAGTATGCCACACAGCTCTGAAATCCTCCGAGCTGGATCGCTTCGAGCAATGCTGACCCGGCTGGCTAATTGCATGTGCAATATGGAAACGCGGTGGCCCACTAAGGGCATGCTAAGGGGTGTCATGAGAGTGATGGACCCGTGTTAAGCATCTCCTACATAGTGAAGAGCTTCCTCTGAACGTGTCATTCTGTGTATAGGTGGACAGAGATCTTTTGTAAAGCACCAGCAGTGTTTGAAAAATAAAATCTCATTACTTTTGTTTCATTTTTAGTTTCTTGCTCAGAGATGTCATTTAAGAATCCCGTCATGGCTATGACTTGATGGCCTTCATTGACTTTATTTTTGGTACTGGGAATTGAACTCTCAACCTTGCCCTTGCCAGGCAGGCGCTGTGCTGCTGAGCTACACCCCTAGCTCAGGGCCATGGTTTGGATGGTGTGTGCAGGCACAGACTCATTGTGTTCCTTGCTCAGTAAGTGCTGCATCATTTTGCTGCTTTTTCAAAAACAGTTTACTTTTAGGAAATTTTTCCACCTTCTGAGTGGAGAGGAGTTTTCATAGGTTCTGAACTTCCAGAATCAGAGGGCTCTCAACAGGTGAGCTGATCTTCTGCCAGGTGAGGCGCCTATGTATTCCCTGCAGGGTGTACCTGGCCTCAGGTAGCAGAGCTGCAGTGTGCAGGGGGCTAGAAGTGCACTCCCTCCGCAGCCCGGGGCTGGTGGAGCGTGTTCCCGAGGAAAGCCAAGCATATTGTTTCTTATACTCACGAGTCTCCTAATGAAACCTCGAGACGCTTAGGTTTAGTTAGTAGGAGACGTCACTGACATTTTTCAATAAAGTACCGCAAAATGCTTTTTTGTGTCTACCTGGTTATTATCCTCTGGGGTTGTTTTCAGTAAATACAAATCATGAAGGCTTTGGGAACAGTTTGCTAACAAAGGTTACGACAACCATGTTAGAGACTTTCAGATGACAATGTAAATAGGTGTAACAGAATATGTGTGTTCGTGGAAAAGAAAATGTGTGGTAGTGGGAAATGCATGGTCTGAAGCAACACCAGTTTACGTAACCTACAGCAGGAAGGAAGATGCCTCTATAACTGCCTCAAGATGGCTAGGGGTTCCCCCAAAGTAACCCACAGTTACTGTGGCCACCTAATATTCTCTCTGTTTTAAGAGTCCGAACCCTGCAGCTGATGTGGTATTACTTCCAGAGTTCTGTGAGTCTCTGACAGAGAAAGAGGAAACATTTTAATCTATTTTTCACAGGAAAAAAAAAGAAAAACAAAAACAGTAAGGGGCCCTAACATGCATCATGTTGGCAAAAAAGCCAATCAATGATTTGAGACATAAGCCTAATTCAGGACCAGCTGGGTCCGCCAGGGTCTCCCCTGGGGACAAAACACCTTTCTATTCATGAATGCCATCTTCTAGAAAAGCCTTCTATTTGTATCTCTGCAAAGAAAACCTGAGGGGCTGTATCTCCCCACCTGGCCCTTTTCAAAGTCCTGTCAGCCACGACCCACCTTAATGTGGGGACAGCAACAGCGCCCCACAAATAAAGTCTACCCAGGTTCCGATTTACTGGAACAGCTGAGGCAGACTGTGGGTGCCACCACAGGTAACATGGTATCAAAGGGCACTTCCAAGTGAGCGCCACAAAATTATGGTCGCTTGTTTTGGTGAATTGGGGTATCAAAAATGCAGGATTCACAGCGTTTCTAAACTTAAGTGTGATATATAAGGTTAAGGGGGGGGGCAAATAGTTTTGATAAAGATCAATTGGTTTTCACAAAAGAATTAAGAAAAATCCCTACACAGAAGCTAAATTGTTACATTAAATTTATTCCTCAGCTCAATTGAAAATATTTTAATTTTTACTTCCAGGTTTTGTTAACTTCATAGTAACAAGATTACGTCAAAAATACATTAAAAACAAAAGCCAAACCTCCCCAAACCTAGCTTCTTAGTATTTTAGAAATTCATACATATTCCTTACTATGTAAAAACATTTTATTTTTAAAATTTGATTAAACATAAATAAAAATACTGTTACCAAAAGCAGATTGTCTGGTTTTTTGTTTGTTTGTTTTGGCAGGATCGGGGATTGAACTCAGACCCTTGCGCTTGCTAGGAAAGCACTTATTCTACTGAGCCATCTCCCAGCCCCAGCCATCTCCCCAGCCCCTATCTGTTTTTTAAAATGAAATTTGTGGGTTAAAAGCAAGAATGAGCCAGAACAACAGTGAGACTTTTTAGTTTATTTTGGTAGATTTGCTTTTTATAGGCATTGGTTTAAAGTGATTCTTTCCAGAAGTGACTCTCTGAAAAGCTGAAGAAAAAAAGCAAAGGTTGACACTTTCTTTCTAGGATGCACAGTGATGACCAGGGACATGAGCTCCTGTCCAGCTGAGGGGCTCCTGCACGCCATGGTCCAACCGCCAGGCTCCCCACCTGGGTCTCCCCCAGCCTTAGAGGGCCCACTTGTCCCCAAGTCAGGTCCCAACAGCACACTGCAGAGTCACCTGCTGGACACAGGCCCTTCCTACTGCGCCACTAGCCTGCCCTGCTAGGCCTCCTGAGCTACTCCAGCAAGGCATGGGAAACCCCACTCCTCCTGTCACTGCCCTCCACCCCCGCCCTGTGACTCCAGAACTGGGTATGCCTAGCCTTCCAACAAAACACGGTAGGTACTCAATGTGATTTATTTTTTTATTTTTGAGGCAGTTGCACTCTGTAGCATAGGCTGCCTTTGAACTTGCAGCAATCCTCCTATCTCTGCTCACAAATGCTGGGATTAAAGGTATGCACCTCCACACCAAGCTTTGGATGCACTTTGAACTGGGGAATGAGAGATAATCCATGTTGTAAATGCTTGTGGTGATCCTGAGGTTAGGGGCCCTGTTTTAAAGCTGACAAGAAAATGTATAGTTCCCATGAAGACATTAAAGTTCCTGAGGGCACGAACACCCTAGCTGTTGAGTCCAGAGTGGCAGACTGCTGTGGCTCTAGCCATAAAATGCCTTCATTTTCTCTATGAAGCAAAATTTCGGGAGTCTTTGGTTCGTGTGAGGCAAAACCAGGTTTATGCATAGCACAGCCTATTTTTGTCTCCCTCAAGATGACTGGCTGTCCTGCACACCCCTCAAAAACACCCCTCAAAAGCTAACTTCGAGGGGGCCAAGTGGCACACACGGGACATCTTGGGGCACTTTGACATGACCACACTTCATCAGTTTTAATTTACAGAAAGGAAATTAAATGATAAGGTTTTTTCCCCAAAGAAGAACTATCTAGAATAAGCTTTCAGCTTAAAACAAAACACAGTATGGTTTTCATTAAATAATTCCCCAAAGAAATTCTAAAAACCAACCGCGGCAGCTCTGAGAGATGACCTGCCTTCTGCGACCAGCTCCAAAACGAAACTGCAGCACTGACTGCCAGAGCTGAACCTAAAGATGGCCGCGGGTGCGTCTCAAGGGTGAGTCGGTTTTGTCAACCGGGGGGTGTGGACTTTCGCTTACACTCGTCATTAATTCCAGAAGAAGACCTGGCCATTTAAGAGAGAGTGATTTCTTAAGAAAAATAATCCAAATGGAAGCCTTCTTTGCAAAAATGACTTCTGAAGTCCTTTTACAGTTACATTTCCAAAAAACACAGATGGGGTTGGTGTACTTAACTAAACACGGTGTTTTGTTCTCCCTGTGGGGCTGTCTGTGCCTGGCTCAGAAGGGCAGATTTTACACTGGAAACCACACGTTTCTGGAATTAGCCTGGCTTCTCCGAGGCCTGCAAGAGGATAGCATTAGTTCACAATGAGGGGGTTTTGTGCAAAGCTGAGTGTTCGTGGAGTTTTTCCCACTGACTTCAGCTGGGACTGGCAGGAAGAGAAGAGTGAACACAAACGAGCCTTTTGAGGCTCAAAAGGGTGGGCATGGGCCTAAGCTGGGAGCCGGGCTGTGTGGGAAGAGCGCGGCATACACCCGGGAACAGCAAACCGTCAGGGCTTCTCTCCCCGGTTCTGCCACGGAGACTTCTGGACATCAGATAGTGACTGTCTTCTTGAAAGCCACACAGAGGCATGTGCACACGCACACATGCACGCGTATTCTTCCTCCAAATAATGGTTTTCAGTGCATCACTTTCTTTCTTGGTGGTGGAAGGAGGGAGCAAAAATTAAGATTTTCAAATGTGAGGCCATGGTGCCTAGGGTGGTGGCACAATCCTGTAATCTCAGCCTTTGGTAGGCTGAAGCAGGAGGACTGCTGTGAGTCTGAGGTCTACTTGGGGCACACAGTGAGTACAAGGGCAGTATGAAATATATATTTTTTTTAAATGTGAGAGAAAGACAGACCCTGTCTCAAAAACAAGAACAACCAAAAGTGTAGTCAAGCATTCTACCCTCTGAACCTCTGCAGTCTTGCAGGAATGCTCTGTATTCGGCAGTGAACCAGAAACTTCCTTCAGAGCTTCTGAGGCCGCCTTGCATGTGGCACGAAGTGCCTTCACCTCCCGCGGGCAGAGCTGGCTCTGCTCCTGCCCAGGCTGCTCCTCTGCACCAGAAAGGTCCTGGACTTGAGCCCCGTCTTCAGGCGTGCAGTAAGCTGAGCTCAGGAAGCAGAATTCCCAAGACGGTGCCAGGGTGAGGAACCAAGTCCATCGTCATCACACCCAGGCTAGTGGGTATTCTCGGACGGCAGCAAGCAGCAACCTCCTCTTTCCCCCACTAACATAACCTTCTGCCCACTGGGAAATCCTTCCTGGGTGCTTGCAAATGACCAGTGCACCTCCTGCCTGCACCCAGAGCATTTCTGATTTGATTTTTTAATAGCTTAGGGCTGAAAAGGTTTCTATCACTAGAAAAGCATTTGAATGACACCATTGCTATTGCTGTTTAAAAGAATAGACTCAGATCCAAGTTCAAAGGCAGCGGGGGATTTCACGCCCACGTGGGCTTTCACTAAACTAAATCCTTCACCTGTTAGGCCACCATGTGGAAGCATCTTCAGACACCCAATAAAACAACAAAACTTTTAAGAACCAGAAAAATAGAAAAAAGATGAGAGTTAACGAATGACTTGAGGAGGGAAGTCACTCTCAAGCTGCATTAGCTGTCGGGTCCCAGCCGAGGCCGATGGAGGGCGGGGTGCACGTGCGTGCATGCAGCCTGCTACCGCCGCTTGGGCAGGATGAGGTTGCGCAGCATGTCGAAGGAGTTGCCGTCAGGGTGCACGGTCGCCACCTCGCCGCCATCCTGGTGGACCTGCAGGTATCCGGAGTCGTCCAGGCCCACGATCCACACCTTCGGGCCCTCAGCACTGCCCAGACGGACTTGCTGGCCACTGCAGAGGAAGCACAGGGGGTCACTGGGAGTGTGGCAGGAAAGCTGGCAAAATGGCTGTTCCTTCTACTAAGGGACTGACACTGGGGGAGAGGACGGAGGCTGGCTCTGGAGACAGGGCAGCCCCTGCTGAGCTTTCACCTCTTTGGGTCCCTCGTGAGTTGGTTCATATGGACTAAATAACCAGGGTCAGCTACACCTGTAATCCTGGCATTGGGGAGGCTGAGGCAGGAGGATTGCCACGAGTTAAAGCCAAAGTAAAGTACATAGTGCGAACTTATTTCAAAAAACCAAAATAAAAAAAATAAACTAACAGGGTTATGGAGAGGACTCTGGACTCTGATCATGGTACTGGCCCTGCTTGCCTGCCCAGCGCTCTATAGCACCTGTAACCCAGTCCCTGCAGCCAAGACTCAGGCAGAGGAGAGGAGAGATTATCTTATAAAGCTGGCAGCAGCACTCTGCTGCTGCTGCTGCTGCTTCCAGGGCTTTGCCAAAAGCAGCTGGTAACTTACATCCTTGTCAATGGTTTTCAATGTAGAGAACCTTCACCCCACTTTATTATATATTTTTAAACTTTACTTATTTTTGTGGGGCCTTGTACATCCCAGACAAGCGCTCTGTCACTGAGCTGCATCCCTGGGTCCTCTTACCCCAGATATTTATTTTGAAGAATTTTGGACCTACACCGAGTTGAGAGAATAGTCCATCAGACTTAGTGTTCCTCTTAGCCACACCAATGACAGTATTTTTCCTATTTGCTTTTTCTCTTGACCCACTTTTCCTCCTGCATCATTAAAAGTAAGTTTCAGGCTTCATGTCACTTGATGCTTACACTGTAGTATGCATCTCTGTAGTGAAACAGCAGTCCCTGCCTACAGACACAGCAGTCCCCTCCTATCCCGACCGCCACACCACCCTCAAGAAATCCAGGCTTGAAGCAGTAATACCACCTGACATAGGTTATCTGTATCAAAGGTACAGGACCAATACATATCTAATGCCCATTAACATCTTTTATGACTGCTGCCCCGCAGCCAGCATCTCCTCTGACACAGACGGAAGCCAGCTGTCCGCCTCTTCAGTTTTCTTTCATCTCCAGCACCTCTGAGCCCTTCCCTTGGTTGGGCGGAAGATGCTGACATTTCTGCAGGGTGGAGGCAGCGCATCTCAGAACACCAGCTGCACTGTTAGCACTGCGCTGGCCCCAGCCCGACTTATGGGGTGGTAGGTCCTGGGTGTGAATTTGCATTTCTAACAAGATCCTGAATGAGGCTGCACTGCTGCTTGGGGCTGTCGCTTTGACAACCACTGCTCTCAAGGGCTCTAGGTGCACCTTATCCTTCCTTGGGGAAGTCACACTGACTGGTTTTAGGGCGCTCTGGGTGGCATCTTTCCATACATCCTACCAGGAGGCTCCTGCAAAGCTAACAACCCAAATGCCCATCAACTAAGGAGTGGATTAAAAAAGATATGGCATTTTTATACAGTGGAGTATTACTCAGCTACAAAAAGATAAAGTATTACTCGCTTTTATAGGTAAACGGATATAACTAGAGACCATACTGATAAGTGAAATAAGTAAGACCCACATGTGGAAACACTATTATCTCCCTAGCATAACAAACTGAAAGAGTAAATAAAATCTGAAAGGTACAATAGATGCTGTAAAAGAGAAAGAAACTGTTCAAAGGGAAGGAACAACTGGGATGAAAGGAGAGGGAAAAAAGGAAAGAAGGGAAAAATATATACACAGGACAGCTTGGCTAATTGTACTGCTGATTTTTATGGGCCTTTTGAAAGGAGCAGTTAATGCTTCATTTTCTTTTTTTTTTTGTTCTGACCAATTTTGCAGCTTATGTGTGGCATGCTTACATCTGAATAACTAATGTGAAGATGACATTATGCGATATAACAACCACTGCTGAATTCCTATCAGTTTGTTCAGTGAAATGCTGTATCACTTCTAATGTTTTATGTTACTGTTTTTTTTACTGCCTTTAAAAAAGAAAAAGAAAAGCAAAAAGCTAACTCAGTCAAAGCAGTGTCTTTTAGCTTCTCCACCCCAGAGATAAAATCTAATTATCCAGCCAGTATGCACCCCCTTGCTTTAGGATGCTGAGCTCCTGACCTAATAAAAGACCTGTAGGCACTGACCTGTGTACCCAGTATTTATAATACAGGGGGAGGACGCCGTTGGGCCCTTGGTCCTGAAACATGTCGATGAGTCTCTCCAGCACTGTCACAGCCCTGGCAATGATGTAATCAGCTCGTAAAGGCTTTAGGTCTGTCTGATTTTGCTTGTTGTATTCTTCAATGAGGTCGTTGATGCAGATAGTAGGGTTGCTGTTAGTCACATTACACCCAAAGCCTGCACAACAAACAAACAAAACTAGTAGCTCATCATGTTGATAGCATCATTGGTCCTCTGCTGCCCCTGATACAGCTATGGTTCTCATTTTGGTGCACCTGGGGATGGAAGGCAGGGTCTTGTGTGTGTCTATCCGGTAAGAACTCTACTGCTGAGCTACACCCCAGCCTTCCTGCTAGAGCTTCACTCCAACTTCCTGTTTCCTAGAACAAGGACTTCTCAGCTTTACTGAAAAGAAGAAGGTGGGGAGATGAGACCCTGGGACTGTGAACAGGAGCTGTCACTGGGACAGGGTCCTGGGTGGCATTTCTGGAGTAACAACCCCTCACCTGATCCAGATATGAGCCCGACAGAAAACACAATCTGCTTTTCCTTTTTTGCATGAATGACAGGACACACACTTGAAGATAAGGAATTTTCTTCAGGGGCTTAGGGATAAACCTTGAGTTCAGAGAACTTATACCTGGTCTCAGGTCACCCTGAGGACCCATCTCTGAACCCTCTACCCTGGAAAGTCCCTGGGGTAGAGGCTCGGGTGTGGGAAGGAGAGATATATGTGCAGGGATGCCCTTCTTCTCGGTTACACTCACAGGTCTTCCAGGAGGAAAGGGAGACTACAAGTCGTATAAGGCCAAAGGACAGGCACACCTCTAGGGTCTCTAGGAAAAGATCACCACCCTATCAGCCAGAAAGGTAGCCTCTGTAGTATTGGTGAAGGGACATTTTGTTGCAAAAGGAAGGATAGACTCACCAGATTTTTAAAGGCATATACCAGTCATTAAAATACAAACCAAGCTAGCAGGTACAGTGGTATAAATCTGTAATCCTAGCTACTCAGGAGGCCAAGGCAGGAAGACTGCAAGTTTGAGGCCAGCCTAAACGAATTAGGGACTTAAATGAAATCTTGTCTCAAAATAAAAAATACAAAGGGCTAGGGATGGCTTAGTGATATAGTGCTTGCCCAGCATTGTTCAATCTCCAGTACCACAAAATTTTTAAAAATATTAAACACAAATAATGTAAATTACACCTAAAAAATGATTACAACAGGTATAAAATCTTCTCAATTCATTTGTCTGACAACAGAGACAGTCAATATCTGAAGCACCTACTGACAGCAAAGCATTCTACTGAAAATCTGAAAATTCTCCCTTGCATTCAGAGAGTCCTAGGGACATTAGTGACATTTATGTCAACCTAGGCTATGCCTGGATAGGGACCAAAGGACACCCCACAGGCAGCTCTGACTCTTTCCCTAGTGAGGCCTCTCTTTCCTGCACCCTGGCTGGAGGAATTTATGCCTAGCTCCCACTGTGGCTGCCATGTGGGACAGCTCCATCCAGCCTGGTGGATCACTGGAAGATGGAAGCGCAGCTGCACAGTATGAAGCTGCTGTCCACAGTAGCACTGCTGGTACAGGGCTGGGACACAGCCTTGTATTCTGTGGCTGGCACTTCCAACGCATGGTCACGTGCTTTCTCTTCCTTACTGATTTCTTTTTATGTATTTGGTATAGGGTCTATAGGGTCTACAAGGTCTACAGCGTCTCATTAAGTAAATCAGACTCGTAGTGATTCTCCTGTTTCCAGCCTCCTAAGCACTGGGATTACAGGCAAGCACCACCACATTCAGTCTCAATCGCCATCTCAGCCCAGCTGCTGCGCTCTGCCTAAGCAGGTACTTTAGTCTGCTGAGTTATCTGGCCAACCCTCCTTACTGATTTTTGAACACCAATTAAATTCTCCTGGGCAGGTTGGTGGCTGGATGACCAGAGCTCTAAAAACTTCTCAGGTTGCCTCAAAACCCATCTCCTTACTGATTTTCTTGTGTGAAGTGAGATAGGAATTCTTTGTCCCACCTTTGGCAACCATCAAAAAGTTTTAAGAAGGAACTTTTTTTGTATCTGGGAAGGACAATTTAAGAATGCCACACCAAGGTGGGTGAAAGGGTGTCCATTTATAATCCCAGCACTCAGCAGGCTGAACAGTAAGTTTAAAGCTATCCTAGATTACATAATGGAGACCAGCCTGCACTACAAAGGAGACCCTGTCTTAAAAAAACATGAAAAACAAACAAACAACAACAACAAAAAAAATGCAAGACCAGAGGGATCACTGTATTACAAACTTTCTGAATACAAAATGGCATGTTAAATGTTTATTTCTAAGGGCCAGCAAGATAGCTCAGTGCACTAAGGGCCGGCTTTGGCAAGCACAGTGACCAGGTTCAACTCCAGGTCCCGCATGCTGTGCCAGCCCCACCCCTGAGGCAAACGAGTACAGGGATGGTGGCACATGGCTGCAATCCCAGCGCTGGGGAGGCTGAAAACAGGAGGATCACTTATGAGTCTAAGCTGTATAGTGAGACCCTGTACCAAACACATAAATGCAAAAATATATGTATTTCAAGTTAAACAAGAAGCAGAGGTACAGGAGGGGGCAAGAAATGCTTGATATGATTTTAATTTTGTGGTTTCCATGGTCACAGACAGGAAGTGCAAAATCCATTGAAGTGGTTTCAGTCAACCAGGTCCTCTCTACGTATATACTAAGGTCTAGGACCATGAAGCATAGAACAACAGCTCTCTCACATGGCAATATATACAAGCACAGACTTTTTTGGAAGTTGTTTTGTTTTTCTTTTCTTTTTATGGCACAGGGGATCGAACTCAGGACTTCACACTTGCCAGGCAGGCGCTTATGCCACTGAACTATCTCCATAGCCCTGGAAGTTGGTTTCTTGAGGGATTGTCTTGCTATGTGCTATGTCGTTCAGGCTGGTCTTGAACTTATGCAGCCAAGGCTGGCCTCAAACTTACAGCAACCCTCTTGCCTGAACTCCTGGAGTGCTGGGATTATAGGCGTGCACCACCATGCCTGGCAGGCACAGATTATTTTAAATTTTGTAATCTTATTAATATAAAAATTGCTGAGAGAAAAGCTTTAAAATCTTACCAATAAGGGCCAGTGAGATAGCTCAGCAGACTAAGCACCTGCTTACACAAGCACAGGGACCTAGGTTCAATACCCAGTACCACATGCCACACTGGCCCTGCCTCGGGGGTGGGGGTGGGTGCTGAGCTTGCCATGTAATCCCAGCACTGGGGAGGCTGACACAGGAGGATCACTACGAGTCTGAGCTGCATAGCTGAGTAGTGAGATCCTGTACAAAATACATTTTTTAAAAAAACTTACCAATAAGTATATAGAATGTTTCTCCCATAAGTGTTGAGTTAACCAGAATTCCACCAATCTTCATGAGGTCACTGTAATATACATCATTGGGCCACTTCACCCGTAAGTTGATATCCTAGAGAAACATCTTCATGTTAATTAAGCAATCAGAGGATGCAAAGGCTCTGGATGGCATCATCTAGGCAAAGGAAGATGAGCAGAATACGCCTAACACTAGCAGAATATGACCTTGCACTCTCCTTTTGCAGACAGCTAGTCACATTTCTAGGATGATATGATAGTAAAGCAGTTCCGGTGGGTGGAAGGTGAGAGGCTCAAAGTGTGCGTGGCAGAAACCCCAGCACTCTACCCTAACCCCCTACTGTTCTGCTCCATCAAAAACACTCTCAAAAACCTAACTGTGAGTGAAATTCATTAACTATCTCAGCTTCAAGAAGACCACTACTGGGAACTATCAAGTGCTGGGTGCAGGACACAGGGTGCAAAAGCGACTACTGATAGGGCCCTTCTCCCCTGAGAAGCTCTGGTTGCAGAGTGTCCAAAAGGCAGTAGAAATGCCTCGTGGTCAATGTCAAAATGTGCTCATGATGCTGAGAGGGACCCACTGTTCTGAGCTACCACAGCAAGCCCTGCAGAGCCGCCCCATATCGACTTGGGGCAGAGCCTCCCTTGTTGTGGCCCACGCTGCTGCATCCCGCAGGGGTGTGGCTGGAGGCTCTGCTTGGGCCTTGGTCACAGCAGCTGGACCCGGGATGGACACCCAGGCCTCCACCTAATGGAGCAGAGACTGGATTAGCTCAAACAGGCTCTAGAATGCTCAACTTCTCAGAGCTGGTGCTGACAGTCAGACTGGGCCAGGTGTGGGTAGGATAGAGGAGGCCCCTGGTGCCTCGAGGTGGAATAGAGACCCTCCAGGGACAGGAGAGCAGCTGCTGGCCTCATCCGTATGGGATCAGACCTGTGCACTCTGGGTGACTGGCGCTGAGCCCTTTTTAGCTCCTTGCTCCTGGCACTGGGCTCAGCCCTCTTTTTTATTTTTTTGTTTTTTCAGCCCTTTTTATGAGGAGCCAACACTGTGGCTGCCACCGGTGACAGCACTGGACTCAAGCACAGGGCTTGCTGAGACTCAGCCTGGTGACTAAGGCCATGCGGTGTGGCCCGCTCTCCCCTACCTCTCACAGGTCTTCTCACTGTTCAGAAGTTCACTGTCCCCTCACAGTTGTATGGGAATCACAGCACAGAGGATCAAAGCACCATGCGAGGAGCTTGTGCTAACTGCTGCGGATGGAGCACTGTATCTCTTTTCTGCCTGGACACTGAGATCCTCAGGGACAGCTGCCAATGCTCAGACATCCTGGCAGTCACAGCTTGAAGAAGTACGACCCGTCTGGTGGTGCAGAGACCAAGGCTCACCTTCCTGTGCATAGCACCCCTCCAAAAAGGAGGACATAGGGAAGTGGCTCCTGCTGCAAAGAGCAGAGCATGTGCAGTCCATGTGGTACTGCTTCAGAGCGACAAAGGCCATCAGTGCCAGAAGCCAGGCTCAGACACCCATGGCTATGAGCCCTGCTGCAGGACAGCAGGGCTAGAGGATTCCAGTGGGGCTGCAAAGGATAAGCAATGGTGCAAACAGAAGTGGGTGTGGGGCAGAGGCCCAGGAGCCCAGGGCTCCGGACAGGAGTAGGGAGCCAGTGCCCAGCAGGGACTCAGAATGCATGCTAAGGGGGCTCTGAGGTCAGAGTCAAAGCTGTGAAGAAGGGAGACAGACTCACTACATCTTCTAGGCTCAGTATTGGACTTGTTTTCTAAGACTAATTATTATGCCACTAATGTTAAAAATGCCATCTCTCATGAAAGATCCTTTTGTTTTCTGTGGGTTTTTTGTTTGTTTATTGAGACAGGGTCCCACTGTGCAGCCCAGGCTGGCCTCAAACTCATGGTGGTCCTCCTGCCTCAGCTTCCTGAGTGCTGGGATTACAGTTGGTGACCTCTTTCCTACAAGCATACAGCTCAGGTGCTGTAGAATGGGCCCAAGAGGTCAGTAACAGTGTGACAAGTCCAGGACACTGCCAGGGCATGGGTACATGAAGTCAGTGACTTCAATGCAGTGCGGGGAACAAGGACGTCAGAATTAGCTGTGTCTGTACAACAGCAAAGCTGCACACACGCTGAGTGTGAGGCTGAGCTTGCGTGGGCCTGGAAGCAAGAGGAGGGTGAGAGACTCTCATCTGTTAACTGCTGGCAAAAGCCTTAGTCTCACTTGAGAGCTGTGCTTTAACATCTTGCTAGAAATCAAGACAATCGCTTTACTTTTAGTCTGACCTAGCGTCCCAGGTAGGAAGGACGTAGGCAGGGAGGATGCTGCCTTTAGATCCATTTGGAATGCTGCCAGGACCCTTTGGGAAGTGGTGCCCAGGAAGCAGAAAAGATGCTCCAGTCCAGGCTCACCGTTCTCTCATTGTCTTTAATAACAGAGACCATCCAGCAGTAGTAATGACACGGGCACGTCTGTCCTGATGGCAGGAGGGAGACAGTCCCCAGCCCAGCAGAACGGTGATGGTCAGCTGCAGACAGGAGAGCAGTGCATAGCAGTGATGATGGGAAGCAGAGGTAAGACAGAAGAAGGCTTCTGGGTCCGTAAAACAAGAACACGCAGACAACCATTTCCACCCAGTCCATCTTACTCAGTGCGTCTGCTGAAAGCAAAGCTGACCTTACAGGATGTGGAGAGCTTGGGCAAGCAGGCTGGAAAGGAATTCTGGGGAGCTGTGCGCCTGGCAGGACAGACGGTGCCATGCAATGCTGAGTACACTTTGCTATAAGCTCTACAAAGGGCATGGGACAGCTCCTTCCCACAACCAAATGTGCAGACAAACGCTACAGGCAAAACAAGTCAAATTCTGCACCCTCAGAGGGAGGTGTCAGACTTAATATTTAAACCACACGTACCTGATACCCAGGAATGGACCGCACAGCCTCCACGATGGCCAGGGACATTAGGTGCTGGACGAATGGAATCCTCTGTCCCAGCTGGGACCGCAGGGGAACAGACAGCAGCACCGTAGAAAGGGCACATCCCAAGGGGCTCAGCCATGCGTTTGGCCCCCGCCCTGGAAGACAGGCCGGTTGGCTAAGTGCTGCTTCCCATAAGGAAATCTTAGCTTCCCTTCCCCTCACGAGTGCTGCACACACAGGGGCCTAGCACATGCCTGGATGTCCTGTGTTACTCAACAAAAGAAAGACACTCATAATGGTCAGATAAGCTGCTGAAAATGTTTCCAATCCTTAGCACAATGCCCTGCCTCAGTGAGCACATCATTTATGCTTGGATAGTTAATGCAGAGCAGTGTCTGAACAGTGCCCTGGGTTTCGTCCTGACCAGACGGGCAAGTGAGACCAGAGATCAAGGCCTTGGGAAAAACCCACACTGACCCCTGGAAGTGTTGGAAGCTACTTTTCAATCCTTGTGGTTGCAATATTTGCACAATCCAGGGAATATACTAAAAGCCAGAGCTATATGCTTTCCACGGGGGGCACTGGTCTATGAATTTCATCTCAGTAAAGTCATTTTAAAAGCTGATCCCTTGGGGCCGGGAGATGGCTCAGTGGAATAAGCGCTTCCCTGGCAAGTGCAAGGACCTGAGTTTAATCCCCGGTTCCACAAAAAAAAAAAAAAAAAAAAAAAAAGCTGATCCCTGGCTCTAACTCTCAGACTTGTTGACTTCTTCAAACTGAGGTTGGAAAGTCAAGTCATCTAAGTGAGAAATACTGTTAGCTAACGTTCTTCTAGAGTGCTTTTTAAAAAATCCATCATATTGAGTCATATAGATTTGATAAATAAATTTTCTTCTTTTTGAGTTATGCTCAAGAGAAAGGGGCAGAAAGGCAGAAAATCTCTTCTCTCCCAGCTCTCACCTCTTCTGGGTGCCACAGGGCTATGAAGGGCAGGGACCAGTGAACTGCTCCCAGCTTTGAAGGACTCTGACAGGGAGTTGGAGGAAGGTGGCAGCCCCTGCTTCTCTGTGGTCACCGTGGGAAGGGCACTGAGTGATGTCCACCCCTGCAAATCCCAGGGCTAGCTGGGAGGTGACTGGTGAGAGAGAAGCCCCTCCCTGTGACATTTCCTACAGACACAGGCATGTTCTAGACCTCATGGAGCACCTTCAAGAAAACAAACATGTCCGGGATGTGTTGATTCACACACCACAAGGACAGATCCCTGGAGAGCAAAAATGTCCCTGCCAACATCAAGAGATTATGCGACATTGCAGTTTGAGAAAATGACCTGACTCCATGCAGGCTATACCTTCGTGTGCAGCCTGCTTCCTTCTTGTCCCATTTCCGGTGAATACGAACACAGAGCAGTCTCTGATTCGAGTTGTCTCAGTGATCAGCACACACAACCCACAACCTCTCTGGCCACTAGAATCACAGATTTTGGAAAAAAAATAAATAACAGCAAGGATAACAAAAGAGGACTGACCTTTGCCCTGAGTCTGCCGGACTGCGATGGCTATTAAACCCATTTCCTGTGGCATCTCAAACATCAACCTGCAAATGGTGGGAAAACTGGTCAGCTAGAACAAGACAGCAGCCGGGCCCAGAGCACAGACTAGGTGAGGCAGGGCTGTGCGTGGGTGGCCCAGCAAGGGCCACCTTTAGGATCTGTACAATCTGTAGAGACATACAGCAGTGGGGAGGTCATCTTCCTTCCAGATTCTTTTTCTCCTAAGACAGAGTCTCACTCATCATTCGGGCTGGCCTTGAACTCACCAGACAGCCCAGTCTGGAATTCTACTTAACAGTAATCCTCCTGCCTCAGCCTCCTGGATGCTAGGATACAGGCACCACCAGCCACGCCCAGCTTCTTTCTAGTATCTTTGAGATGAATGATGGAGAAAAAAGAATGAAGACAATGCCACTGATCAGACAGGAAGGAAGGGTGAGCTTGTGGAGCGGCTCTTCAGTTTAAGACTTGGCTCTGGTTTTTTTGGAGGATCTGATCAAGCTTTTTCCTTCCTGTCTGATGTGTGTGCCTTCTTCAAGGGACAAATCCCAACATTTGTTTTTACTTAAGGTGTGTTTCTGTTGGAACACCAGTACACAATCGCAACAGAAGTTTCTGATTATTCAGAAAAACCAATATGGTGGCTATAAAGCCGTTTAAAAGATACACTATCCCCTGAGAACTAATTATGTTTTAACTACAGTAAATAAATCTACACCTTCTGAGAACTCAAGAGAACCCTGGATCATTTTAGGCTTCAGTTCTGCTTTTAAAATGGTTTCATGTAAAAGAATTCAAACCTCTCTTTTGGGGATAGGGAGAAAAGTATACTAATCTCCCCCTAACAGGTCAAAATTAGCTGGGTTTTCCCCCTAAAATGAAAAGACAGACAGAGACAGAGACAGAGACAGAGAGAGAGAAAGAGAGAGGCAAAAATCCCTCACTCTGAGAATTTTCTCTGAGAAACTCGCTGCTCCATATTTTAAGGCTGTGGCAGGAGTTTCCTCCTCCTGGTGGTGCAGGCATAGCCTGTTTCTGGGTAGGGTATATCCAGCAGCACCAGCCAGGCCTGCTCGCCAGTGGCGGCGTTGAGGGGCTCTTCGCAGTATCTGTCTTGGGGGAGCAGAAGGGCAGGGCTGGGCAAGAGCTGGTGCTTGGACTTAATGTGAAGTTTCTAATAATCAGCCTGGAGGGGTCCACAACACCCCGGCAGGAGACAGGGGTTCTAAAAAAAGAAAGCTGGCGCTCTAAGTTCTCATCTCTCCTCTGGGCTAAAGGAACTGGGTGGAACTTTACACACAGCTGGCATTCAGGAGAAAAAAATCTTCCACAGAAAAGCAAAGCAGCACACAGCACCCCTCCAGTCACCCCCATGCAGAAGACTTGGAGAGGCCCACTGCCCAGTGCACCCAGCCTAGGGTAAGAGGAGCCCAAGGCTGGAGATCCCAGGTCCTGTGGGCAGGGCTTGCCGGTCCCCAGCTCCTCCCAGGCAGGCACAGGGCACCCTATGTGAGCCCCGCGTGTGCCAGTCCACTTCCATCCATGAAATACAGCCCCACAGGTATTTCTCTTGGACACCGTGAATAACCCATTGACAGTGAGTGTGCCCATGGAGCCCAAGCTCCAAATATAAAGCGTCCTTTTCTCGTGTTGGGCCAGCAGGAAACCCTAAGAAGGACTCCTTGTCCACACAGGGAATTAACATTATCTTCCAGAATCTCTGCTTTCTATCAGGTTGGACCACCTTCACCTGAGTTCCTGAGGCCTGGGCTTGGGGAGACCAGCTGGGAGAGGGGGTCAGCACACTGTGCCCACAGCAGCGCTCTGGATGACAAGCACTCTCCGAGCTCTCTAAATAAACATGTGCACAGTAGACAGTCGAATGCTCCAGCCAGCCACGGTGATAGTGGAAGGGGTGGGGGGCACAGGAAAAGGGGGGTGCAGAAAACAAACCCAGACTTCTAGAACAAAGAGAAATGATTAAGGGAACATATGCACTAAACTGCTAGAGGTTTGGCAGCAGTTAACAGGGCATATTAATGAGAGGAGCGAGTCTGTGTTGCTGAAGGCCAAGAGGAAATCTGTGAGGAGGGAGACAACGGGGGAAGGAGCTAATGCGTAGCTTGAGACAACTGGAGGCCGCCAGATTTATTTGTGCTATCGGAGATAACTCTGGGGCCAAACCACACAGCTCATGGTCAACAAAGACGCCATTTAGGAACCCGCCCGTTTTGCATTTCTGAAAATGAAGCTGCTGCAGTTTGCTTTAGCAGAAGAAAGAAACCATAAATGCATTTCCATCCTTCCTCGATGATGCCCTTACAAAAGGAAAAGGGGAGAGAAGGAAGGGTTATGAGAGGATTACCTTCCAGCCTCTGTGCATTTTCTCTCCTGGCTGGCAAAGGCTGTGGAATAAAAGGCTTCTCTAAGTGCTCCCGAAGGGTACTCAAGGAAAGCCTCTGTCTGCACTCGTGGTACTTCCAGAGCCCCATGGGGTCACTGTGCAAACCAGCAGCTCCCTGGGTGAGTACTTTGTTTCCTAAGGACAGCCCTGCCTTTGGTTTGGGGGGGGGGGCTTCCTAAGAACACCTTGATTTTCAGAAGGCCATTAAGATGAGGTTTTGATAATTCAGACTAATCCAGAAGACCGGCCATGAGGAACCAGTAAAAACTCTGGATGAGAAAAAATTTAAAGTCACACCCAGTCCATCCACTCTGGGGATCTGAACTCAAATGGCCCACACTTACCACTGCACTATAAAAGCAGAAACTTGGAAATGACCTAATGGCTCATGAGGGGAACAGTTCCCTGAATTATGGGACATGAAGTCAGTGGAATAATCTGAACCATTAAAAATGACAGCTATGAACACTACATAGCAATGTGGAAGAAATGAATACCATAAAAGTGTTACACAGAGGGCTGGGGAGATAGCTTGTGGTCTAAGTGTCTGCCTGGCAAATGCAAGGACCTGGGTTTTTTTTTTGTTTTTTTTTTTTTGCAGGACCGGGGTTTGAACTCAGGACCCTGCGCTTGCCAGACAAGCGTTTATTCTACTGAGCTATCTCCCCAGCCCCAAGGACCTGGGTTTGATCCCCAGTACTGCATGCTTTGCCAGTGCCAGAATCCTGAGTGATGGTGCACGTCTGTGATCCCGGTACTGGGGAGGCTGAGACAGGAGGGTCACTATGAATCTGAACTGCATAGCGAGACCCTGTAATAAATAAATGAAAGATTAAAAAGAAATTATAAAGAAAAAAATAATAAGAGGATTTGCAGGATGAAAACGATTAAGATGCAATATGTATATGTGCCAATTCCCCAAGACAGATATAATTATGCATCACATAGTAATAAAAACATAAAAATTAAAATTAGAAGGGATACAGAAATTTTGAAAATGAAGGTCTAGATGTAAAAAGGAGTAAATTACCCAGTTGCTGCAATAAAATAAATATCATAAAAAAGAATACGTAACAGCAATCTGCAACATGCATTTTATTATAAACAGTGAACAAGAGCCTGTTTGCTAGAAACTAGGGAGCAGAAACTCCTCAAACCAGTCCGTTCAAATGAACAACCTTAAAAATCATACACTTCTCACCAGTGACTGCACTTCCAGAATTGAATCCCGAAGAGGATTCAGACAAGGCAACGGAGCAACTCCAGAGCACAGCTATTCACAGCAGGTTATGACACACTGAAACATCAGCAACAATCCACATGGCGCATGACAAAGGAAACAACACAGTCGCAGCATCACCAAGTGAAGAACACCCCACAGCTGTTGGTCACGTGGGCCTGCCTCTGGAGAGTATCATGTGAAGTCATAGGATGCACAGCCCTAAACAGCACGATTGCAATGACGATCTAAAATATACTTTTTAAACTGTTAGGAAATACCCCCAAATGCAGAAAACAAGTCACCCAGGCAAGTCTTTCTTCTCCCTAAAAATCTATGTTCTTCTAGCATTCTTCTCCAATAAAATATTACACACAGACATATCCTAAAAAATAAATTCCTGATGATTTACACATTTTTATTAAAATGATGCTTTAGATGTATAGCGACATTTTTATGCTTGAATTTTGTATGATGTGTATTTACAGACAAATGCAAGACACACAGCAATAGTAGTTATGCACCCAAAAGTGGTGAGAGAATTACATAAGGATTTATATTTGTTATTCTATATAATTTTGGGATGGTAAGCATTCAAGCAATTTTTATTTCTCTTTTTTATGCTTTTTCTGAAATATCCAACATTTCTACAATTGCACTGCACTTCTAGTTAGAAAAAAATGCTATTAAAAAAGATTTATTTAAGCCCAACCTTTTTTTTAACTTTAGGGAAGTGTCTACAGGGTGTTCAGGGTCTCACTACTAGATTGGACTCATAGTGATCCACCTGTTTACAGCCTCCCAAGAGCTGGGATTACAGGCATGCCACCACGCCCAGTCTCAATCGCCCATCTCAGCACTCTCCAGGGGCGGGACCAGCACAACAGTCCCAGGGATTGAACCCTGGCCTCTGTACCTGCTTGCAGGTGCTTTAATCTACTGAGCTATTTGACCAGGCCTAGCCCGACATGTCTAGGTAGGTTAGGTCTCACTTACTAGCTAGCATGTTGGTGAAGTAGGTTCCTTCTGTCCAGAGATCACAGACCTGTGGTGACAGGGTGGCCCACAGCCTGTAGGACACAAGCATGGTCACAGCTGCCTGGCATTGGTTCCTGCACAAGGGCAGCAGGCTGAGTCAGAGTAAAGCCATACAGGGACCCCTGGGGAACAGGACCCCTACTGTCCTCTTTACGAGCTGCTGGGCAGCTTTCTTCTGGGGAAGAACCATCCCAGGCTCCACGGTACATGGAGGCATCCTGCTCCCAGGTGCTGCAGCTGGGGCATCCTTGGCATGCTTCCTGGGCCAGTGGACTGGGGGGTAGACTTCAACTCTAGGTGCTTCTGGCTCCTGGGAGTACAACCCAGCACCGAGCGGTGCTTTTCTTTGTTGGGTTTTCCCCATTCATTCCTCTTTCTCAGCC